TGTCTAAGTCCTATATTATTCAGATTTAGAAAGCACCCCTTCTGACATTTCTTTCCGCTGCTTCACAAATGCCATCATCTTTATGACTGTAGCCTTTTTACTTTTCCTTACTGCTATTGCCTTCCTGCAGACTTTATAGCAGCTTTGACAGTCCCCCTCTTGATTCATTTAATCCCCCCTCCTTCTCTCTGCTGTCTTTTTCCTCCATCTATTTTAGGTTACAGGGGAGAGACAAGAAAATCACAGCCTAAAGGCTTTCAGAATTTAACGTTTTCACTCTATGGAATATATGAATCACCCACTTGCACATTCTGAGGTTTAGTTATTTGTTTCTTTTTCCAAAAGAAATTGTTTTTACAGATTGCAAAAACATTAATTTAGATATTGACTCTTTTTTGTGACACACTCCTCATCTGAAATTTCCCTTGCTCTCTGGTCAAACTCAAATATATTCACAATATATGGCCAACAAAATAAACCAAAACAAGGCTAATATGATACAAAGTCTTCAGTAGATAGCATCTTTAAATTACCACAGTTAAATGAATCTGGTCTTAGTGCATGGCTCCAGTACAATCCACTCACTAGCAGAAGTTCAAGACCCCATTCCAGGCTCAGCTCTGGAAAGGAGAAATGTCAGTATAGTTGAAGGCCAAGGATATTTTTCCACCAAGGTGCCAGCCAGGCCCTGAAGCTTATGACATTATGAAGGGTATAAACCCTTACATTATTAGGTGCTGTGCCCTCTATGGAATCTGCCATTTGGTCATTTTTTGGAAATCCGTTTCTCAGGAATATATTGGAGGTTGACCTAAAACTGGCCTGAGATACCTCTCAATAGCGAGGGCCCCTGGTATTTGCAATATCTAACCAGACCAGGAAGAGGACCGAGGTAGAAAGGCCAGCAGTAGATGATAAAACCAGCTGCTGAGGGGCGCCTGGGTGGCTCAGTGGGTTAAGCTGCTGCCTTCGGCTCAGGTCATGGTCTCAGGGTCCTGGGATCGAGCCCTGCATCGGGCTCTCTGCTCAGCAGGGAGCCTGCTTCCCTTCCTCTTTCTCTGCCTGCCTCTCTGCCTACTTGTGATCTCTCTCTCTCTCTCTGTAAAGTAAATAAATAAAATCTTAAAAAAAATTAATTAAAAAAAAATAAAAACATGGCTGAATATCAGGATCATTTAGAGCTTTAAGAAAGTGCCTACTTCTGGATGTAATAATGGTACTTATATTTAGAAATCCCTTCTATAGATAGATAAATACTCAAATCTATGATGAAGGGATATGAAGCTGGAGATTTACTTTAAAATACTCTTGCAAAAATACTGTGGAGGGACAGCAGATATGAATGCATTCACTGTGAATCATTACAGAAGCTGGAGAGGGTGATATGAATATTCTTTACATGATTCTGTGCACTTCTGTATGTGTTTGACATTTTCCAAAATAAAAAATGTTTTAACATATGATGAGAAAAGTAATAATATAAAAGTACAAATTTCCAGATCCACACCAGGACTTTGGTTCAGGGGACAGGCCCTCGGTGGGACGGTGCCCACTGTTGTGCACTGCACAATTCTAGGGTGTGCTTCATAGCCTTCCAAGATTTATAGCATCATTATACAGCTTCTCCAGAAGATGGCAGTAACTTCTCTTGAGAAAGGGGCTTCTTAGAATTCACACAAAGCCATCACTGGCCTGGAGGCAAGGTCAGTTCCCCAAATCTGAATCTGAAAATTTTAAGTCTGTTTGGACAATATGATGAACAAATAGGGTGGGGCCCAACTGGACTACAGAGAATGGCCCACCTCAGTACTCACTCAGCGCTTCTGCTGGGCTGGGCTGCGCCCCCTGTGATGTTTCTCAGCACCACTGCAGCAATCCTGGCCTGCCCTGACAGGCCAAGTCCCACCGCCTCCATCCTCACATGAGCAAGAAAGCCCAGGAGGGACAATTTAGAGAATGCGGGGATGCAGAGAATAAAACTCATCCACAAATGCACAGCCCAGAAATAATCAAAGCTAACATTTGTTATATACCTTTCAGTTTTCTCCTTCACGTGTGTTTTTAAATCTTTCACCCTTGGGGTGCCTGGGTGGCTCAGTCATTAAGCCTCTACCTCCAGCTCAGGTCAGGGCCCCAGGGTCCTGGGATGAGCCCGCATAGGGCTCCCAGCTCAGCGGGAAGCCTGCTTCTCCCTCCTCCACTCTCCCAGCTTGTGTTCCCTCTCTGACTGTCTCCCTCTTTTTCAAATAAATAAATGAAATCTTAAAAACAAAAATGTTTCTCTCTTCCCTCGCTAACAATTTAATTTTACTGCAGTTGCCAGGGAATCCTTTTAAAGTGAAAATTCAGATCTGTAAACTCCTGTGACCTGGTCCTCTCCCCTCTTCTTCTACAACTTCCCCACTTTTTTATCCATTTTATTCCACTCACCCTGGCTTCCCTGCTGTTCTTACAATGTATATACCAGGCAGGCTTCAGGGCCTTTGCACCTGCTGCTCCCTCTGCTTTGAAAGCTCCCCCTCCATGTGACTAACTGCATTTTTCTTTCTGCTCAAATGTCACCTGGTTAGGAAAGCGTTCCCTGGCTATCCCATTCTACTTCCTAACAAGTTCTCCCCAATCTCTTCCCCTCCTCTGTTTTCCTCTAGACAAATCCTTAGAGATATAAAACATTATTCCTTTTCTGTCTTTCCTTGGTTATGTGTAACCAATGAAAGCCTGTTATTGTTTGTTTTTGTTTGTTATGTTTCTTTGTTTCCAACTGCTGCATCCCTAATGGTGGGACAGTTTGGCTAAGAATAGATTCTCAACAAAGATTTGTGAGATGAATGCCTATCTCTGAAATCTAAGTGTCTCGATTAATTAACTCCAAAGAACAAGTTAACTTATTCACTAATGACTGCAGGCATTTTGCTGCAAATTTATTCAGGCTGGTGTTCCAGGAAGCCATGCTGCTCAAAACCAAACAATCCAAGGGAGCACCTAAGAAGCAGTCCCCTGACCTCATAAAAGACCGACAGCTCTTCCTTTAAAAATATTCGACGCTAATTTTTCCCCATGCTTTATGGCATGGTTTATATCTCCTCTAAAAAAATCATTTTCTCAGGAAAGCACTTCCAAACAGCTTTCTGAAAAACACTGACTTTGCCTTGGGGAACCACATGAGGGTGGAGGGCCCTTCCATTCACTGAGCACTTAGGTGGACTTCCTGATTTTCATAAAAGGTTGTCATTCCTAGCTCTTGTTCCTATGGTTTCTTAACCTGGGGATTAGCTCTCAGGCAGGAACACACAGAACCTCAACTCCCATGTCTGCATCAGCAGCACCCTCAAAGAGCTACTTGCAGAAAGATTCCCAGAAGGCATTCAACAGTCCTTTCATGTTTGAATTCTATCTTTGGACCAAGTGGCATCAGTAGAAGTCTCATATGCAGACCAGTCCAGAAAGCCCCTCAGCACACAGCCAGCCCCACAATACTATGTTGTAATATTCTGCCTTTAAATTTTACCTGAAGATTCTTATAAAAACCATTTGAAAGTAAAGTTATAGTATCTGAGAAATTTATTATAGAATTCAGTCAAAGGGAAAGTATTATTTCCTTTGAAGAATGGCTATGTTTCTTCCTTTGGGATAAAAATTATATTATAGTTGTGTTTCCATTTTTTGACCTCCCTGTCAGAAAACCTAGAGCACAATTTTAATCATAGCCACAATGCTAACCTTTAGTTGCCTTCTCCTTCCTTGCTGCCCCCAACTCCCTGTTCCTGATTTTCTACTTTCCATTTATCATTTCACTGCAAAGTTTTCCTATAAGCCATCTCAAAGCCACTATGGGAAAAACAAAAACAAAAAAAAAGCCACTATACAAAAATATAGGATATAAATAAACATAAATATCACCATTAGAACATCAATGAAGGGGTGCCTGGGTGGCTCACTCAGTCATTAAACATCTCCCTTCAAATCAGATCATGAGCCCAGCATCTTGGGATCCAGCCCCATATCGGGCTCCCTGCTCAGCGGGAAGCCTGCTTCTCCCTTGCCAGCTCCCCTGTGCTTGTGTTTCCTTTCTCGCTAGCTCTCTTTGTCATAAATAAATAAAATCTTAAAAAAAAAATTGGACATCAATGAATAAATTCAACCTGTTTCTAACCAATGGCTTGTAGGTTTTCTATGACAGAGACATTTAGGAAGCATGCTAGGAAGAATATTAGAATGTATCACCAGGTACAATAATGAATCTCCCCTGGAAATTTGAAAGAAAAGATTTGTGTCTACCTTCCTGAGGTGGTCTGAGGGCTGGATGGAAAGAGGAAAGATAAAATGACTCTAAAGGTTCTGTACTACTATGATTCTACGGTAGTCTGACATAATAGTGGACAACCAGGTGTCAAACACTACCAGCTACTCTAATGTAAAGAAGATGATTTAAAGATACACAGTGAGGGCTCACATTCAGATGGGATTTTCTACCATTGATCACACCGATGAGAAAGGCTTCAAAGCTTCGTTGGCCAAAGCTCAGGGAGGCCTGTGTCCATCTGGCTTCATAACAATCCTGAGCACAGGAGAACCCCAATCGCTACCAAAGTTTTCCCTATATAAATTGTCATGATTTTCACTACCTGGCTTCTAAGTCTCCAAAGGTCACTTTACCTGATAGAATATAACCCCCCACCAGAATTCCTCCTCTGAAGTATTCTTATTTAGCATCTTTGGGCAATTCAAAAAATAATTCATGGTAATTCTATTTAGTAATTTCATCCTGCTTTCACATTTATCCTCTTGTTTGTCTTACCACTTTTGTCTTAATACTTATCCTAATCCACCCTCTGAAAGATGCTATGCTGACCCTAGAAGTAGAGAGACCACGACCTTGCAGCCTCAGGCCTTCTGCTGGCTCACCAGCCTGCCGGGTTACGTGGCCAATCCGTGGCTTGTTTCTCTCCCCACATTTTCGCTCCAGAGAACATATACGTGAATGACATATTTGCTTTTACCCTTTCCTATGTGTCTCCTGGTGTTTTCTATTGTTGAGTTTCTGTTTACATTAGAAAGAAGTCCGAGGCAGAATCTGTTCCTGTTATTTGAAGGGTCTGTGAATCCATCTATAAGTACGCTTCGGGAGGAGGCCTGGAACGTTTCCCCAACTCGGTTGTTGAGTTCATAGTAGGCGACTGAGCACCAGTGCTGCGGCTCCTCGTAGCAAACTGGCCGGAAGTCTGGAAGGAAAAGAACCAGAGAGCACATCACTCCCGTCATGCCTGGCTTCCCGTCTCACGATCCCACCTGGACAACATTCATGCTCTTAACCAGGAGAGGTGCTGCAAGACAAAGATGCTCTCTGTGATCTCTCCAAACCTGTCCACTGATGGAAGATCTGTGTGGGGAGCTCATCTGGTCACCACACGTGCGGCACAGAGGCCGCGATCCTTGTGACTCTCCCATGGTTAGAGCATTTGTACTCATATGTATTAGTACTGAGGGGGTCTGACAAACAACAGTATGAACAGATTAATATAAATTCCATCACCCCGAGAGGAGACAGCTCCAGGGAAGGGGACAGGTTGCCTCCTCTCTATGTGTTAAAGATAACATATCACTGCCACTGGACTGAACAGAGTCCTGGTGACAAGAGTATCATTTTCCAAAAAACTAAGGCTGAAAAAATAATAGTTTGGATATGATGAAAACCAAATCAAAAATACTGGACAGGACTTAAAATTACTTAAGAAAGAAAAAAAGAAAAACTTCTACATAGATAGAGTCACATTCTCCATTGTATACATATGGAGTACTTATACAGCATAAGGTATTTTTAAAGACAGCACATGTTTCATCAGGATATCCATAAACGTTATGTTTTCACCTTAAATTTTTCAAAGTAATTAAGTTGCCAGTAACCAACCAAAGTTCAGAGTTCTTTCTTTGCCACACACTCTTTCTGTCTTTTGACTGATTATATTCGCTCTCTTTTCTTTGGATACCCGAGTAATTCTTGTATCTACGGTGTGTTCCTATGTGCACTGAAACATAAATTTATGAAACATAAATTAGGGGGTTATTATTTGATTTACAAAAGGACCTGTACTTGTAAAAGACTTCACCCCTACAGACTTAAAATCGTAAGCCTGTTAGACTCTCTACTCAGTGTGGTTCCTCTGCATCACCTGGGAGCGTGTGAGGAATGCAGATTCTTGGATCCCACCCCAGATCTAAGGAACCAAAATCTGCCTTTGTGTAAGATCCCCGTGCGGCTTACATGAACATTAAAACCGAGCAACATTTATTTACCTAGCCTATTTTAAGAAACAGATAAAATTCTGTAAAAACCCTATTTACATATTTATCTAGACCCTATTTGCATATTTGTGTGTGTTTACATATTCATGTGCATTTACATATTTGCATATATTTACATATTTATGTTGAGCTCCCCTCTAAGCTAAATCAAAGACACCGCTACAAAACTATAGTATAGGGGCGCCTGGGTGGCTCAGTGGTTAAAGCCTCTGCCTTCGGCTCGGGTCATGATCCCAGGGTCCTGGGATCGAGCCTCACATCGGGCTCTCTGCTCGGCAGGGAGCCTGCCTCTTCCTCCTCTCTCTCTCTGCCTACTTGTGCTCTGTCAAATAAATGAAAATCTTTAAAAAAAAAAAATTATAAAAAAAAAAACAAACTATAGTATAAACACAATGGGGATAAAATTGCTAACTTAAACACCCATTTCTGTACTAAACATCAAGAACTACAAGCGTCTAAATGTTAGGTTAGAATAAAAAATTAACTTACTCTAGCAACCAGGATGAAAAACTAACATTCACTCTATGGTGATGAGGAATGCCAAAGTCAGAATGCCAAGCCGTGCTCTCTGCCTCTTCAAGGACATGTGAAATAGCAGGCTAGCACATTTTGGTTTGTTTGTTTGTTTGTTTAATTTTGTTTTGTTTTGGGGTAATAGAAAATGCTCTTAGAAAACAGCTTCATTGAGGGACGCCTGGGTGGCTCAGTTGGTTAAGCAGCTGCCTTCGGCTCAGGTCATGATCCCAGCGTCCTGGGATCGAGTCCCACATCGGGCTCCTTGTTCTGTGGGGAGCCTGCTTCTCCCTCTGCCTCTGCCTGCCACTCTGTCTGCCTGTGCTCGCTCTCTCTCTCTCTCTCTGACAAATAAATAAATAAAATATTAAAAAAAAAAAAAAAAGGAAAGAAAACAGCTTCATTGAGCTATTCATCTACAAATTTACCTCCATTAAGGACAGACAGCACTAAATGACTATCAGCTGTGGCATCTATGGGTCAGCCATTCTGGGTCCTTGGGGTTCCTGTGGCCTGATAAGGCTGGGTGGTATGTCAACTAAAAGAAAGCAGTAAAACCGATACACTACACTAAGACAGCTCCAGCCTTCCTCGCTGTGAAACTCCTGGGCCTGGCGCATAGTGCTACTGCTGGAGAGAGACCAGTCACGTCATCAGGCTATTCTGCAGTGACACTGTAAGAAATCTGTTGTCCTGACATCCTCACTAAACGGTCAATTAGTTTTCCCACAGACTTGGGAGTTACCTAAAGAGTTTTAAGTTCCAATGACTTCATAAGATTTTCAAATCAAGGAGCTATTCTCCTAGCTTTCTCAATAGCGCAGGGGTCTGTTGCCCGGCTTTCAAAACAGAAAGTTAAACCTTCTTTGAGCTTAGTTTTCCAATTCCTCTGTTGCCATGGATGGTACAATGACCGCAGGGATGCGCAGTCTCTAAGATAGTTCCAAATGTGCCTCCAAAATGCACAACAGTGGAAACCTGATTATAACCTTATGCCCAAGGCATGCGGAGAAGAGCTCCTCTCCCCAAGTATCAGTTCCTATAATCGGGCAGTGATCATACCTAGGCAAATGCTGTGCATTCGGTAGATCAGATCTTAGGAGAAAGTAATTCACAACACAATAAAAACTCCTGCAGCAGACGAAAACCTCTTTAGTGAGAACCTCAGAATTACTGATTCCTCCTGTATACATTCCTAATGTCACTTCATAATCGTCTTGTTACATTAGCAGTGGGTAGAGTTCAGTGGCATAAAAAGTTGAATCAGTCTGCCTTTGTTGAAAACTGAATTTTGTCCATCCAAGTAGTTCCCACACTTAAGCATGCATCAAAGTCACCAGTGAAAATTGTTAAAGATGCAGTTTCCTGGTCCCACCCTCAGCAATTTGAGTCTGGAGATCAATGGCTGGATGTGGCCATGAACATTCCCCAGGCACTGCTGGCAATGCGAATGCAGACCACATCGTGCAACCACGGGTAAGACATTTTCCTGTGGGAAAATAAACTATGAGCCTGGCGAAAAAGTTATAGAGCAAGGTGGCTCTTCTGCAGGTCCCAGAGTACGTCTATCTGTAAAACTCAGGGGCTGCACACAGAGTTGCCATGTCACCATATCTGCTCCTAGGCATATGCTCAAAGGTGCTGAAAGCAAGGACTCAAGCAGATGCGTGCCTGCTAGTGTTTGGAGCAGCATTATCCACACCAGCCAAAAGGTGGAAATAGCCCAAATATCCATCAGTCAACAAATTTTTTTTTTTAATGTGGTGTATCTTTATTTTGGAATATTATTGTTTAATCACAAAAATGAAGTAAACGACACAGGCTAACAACATAGTTGAACTATGAAAACGCTATGCTAATTGAAATAAGCCAGACACAAAAAGACATATATTGTATGATTCCGTTTCTTTGAGGTACCTAGAATAAGCAAATTCACAGAGATAATAAGTGGACTGGAGGTTGCCAGGGGCAGGAGGAAAGGGCAGGGGAAGAACTGGGAGCTACTGCTAATAGGCACAGAGTTTCTGTTTAGGTGGATGAAAAAATTTTGGAAATAGATGGTGAGGATGGTTGCACAGAACTGTGAATGCGCTTAATGCCACTGGATTGTACACTTAAAATGGTTAAAATGTCCAACTTTATGAGATATATATCTTACCACAACTTTAAAAATTAATAAGTGAAAATCACTACATTGCACACTTTAAGTGTGTAAACTGTATGATATATGAATTATATCTCAATAAAGCTGGTAAAAGAAATAAGGTGCTGAACTATTAAATTTCAGAATCTCCTTTTAGTTTCACTTATCGATGGGTCTGTTTTGCAGGTTGTATTTTGCTGTTAATCATTCAGAAAATAATTATTTTCTTTGAAATTAAAAGAGCCATTCCCTCTATGAAAACGAACCAGCTTCTGCAGAGGTGTTGGGGTCTGTCCTTCATGGGTGGGAAGAGGGGAAAAAACATCAAACTTTGAGTTTCACCAGTGCAGGATATGTTACAGCACAGATATGTTTCAAGTAAACAGGTGTTCTGTGACATAATTATCCTCCTGTCCCTTAACCTTGGCTCTGTCCTCAAATGACTTCTCTTCCTGTTGTGTCCCTCTCTTGGTGAATCCAGCTCCTTGTAAGACAGCAACCATCTCCTCCCCACTGAGTGGATGACTCCTGAGCTCCCTCCCAGAGTCTCTGCCTTCACCCCCGCATCAAGTTCTATTGAGTCTGTCTCCTCAAAATCCTTGTCTTTTTCCCCTCCCCACATCCCTTTCTTAGTTCAGGTCCTTACCGTTACTTGTCCGGACTGTGACAGCCTCATTGCTTACTTACATGATTGTTCTCAACAGCTACTGCCTCCTGAAGGTCAGAGACTCTTGTCAGACTCAATCATCATTGTACCTCTCGCAGTAGCACAGTGCCCGGCACTTAGTAGATGCTCTGCCATTACTTATTGTCTCAGTAACATCAAGAGCTATAACCCTAGGCTCTGACCCAGTTCCAAATGCCTGTGTGGTGATTTGTTTACTCTGCAATCAACTGATGAGCAAGCACTGTGTTTTAGGACCTGCGCTACATATAAAAAAGAGAAGATGACTGGCAGTTGAATGGGGGGGAGGAATATATAATGAGGAATTATATAACAGAGTGTGATAAATGCAATAGTAGATGTGTATGAAAATAGTAGCTGTATTGCTGATGGAGCAAAAGGCAGAACTGAATAATTCAGAAAGGAAGGGGCACCTCCTTTTCTGTCTTCCCACATTTTATAAGTTCTATGAGGACAGGGACATTTTTTACCCATCTTTGAATTCTCCTTCCAGCTCCCCAAGGCAATGCTTGTATATAATAAGTGTTCCATAAATATCCGTTAAATAAAGGAATATATGAACACATGAATGAGGCAGA